CCACTCTCGACGGGCACCAACGCGCCTGTATATCGTTGTCTTTCCATCTCAGTAGAAAATTCCCTAGCTGCCAGTCTGAATAGTGATAAATGGATAAATAATCGCCTTGTCGATTTATCTGCATGAACCGGATTAAGCAAGTAAGACCGTTACAATTTCTCTAACAGTCGAACAATAAATACTGATACTGATTCGTTTAAAATGCACTATAAATTAAAGTGTTTCTCTAACGCTTATGCAGAGGTTTGTTTTCACACTCGTGAAATTAGCATTTGTACATTTGTATATAGAAACTGAGCATATACGTACACCGAAACGACTCCCCCATAATCCAAGGAAATTTTTCTTTTTTCGAGAAAATTAACATCTTTGTTAAGCATAGTATAAAGACTTTTCTTGCACATACTGTTTACAGACTTCTGCAGAAAAGTGCTCAAATTGTTAACTCTCAATAAATAAAAGAACTTTCAAGGATCAATAAACATTTTAGGATTACAGTGAACTGATTGAAGTGGACGAATTATTTATGTTGTGCTCTCGTGCATTCAATTTGTTAATTTGTGTTCTCGATCATTGAACATTTAACCATAAATGATATTATTATCATTATTCGATATCCCTACCTTTTGTAAATCAAGATACTCATTTACTTTAGATTAGTGTAGTTCGACTGGACGTCCAATTAGGAATTTTTAGATAGGATGCTGAAAATGCATTCGAGTAAATTTCCCAAAAATTATCAATAATTTCCATTGCACTAGTTATATTACTATTGATAATTATTCTATTTCAGCATTTTATTTGTATAAATGAGAATCAAGGCAACCCCTAACCCAATACAAGGCCTAAATGATCCAATACCTAGTGGTAAATATTTACAGTCAGTCAAAGTAAAAACTTTTTGTATCCCTGGTGCGGTTTGACTAAAGCCCAAAAAGGGGTAATAGCTAGTTCCGTCACAAGATTGTCGGGAGAGAACTCTAAGCATAAACCTAAGTATATAGAGTTGAAATTAGTAGTATCCACTGCAACAGTATGTGTGACTCCACCAGACCACCAGAGAAAAATATAAAGTTCTAAGAGCTCGCAGCTCTAACTGTTGAGTACTCTTAAAACATAACAGCTAGCTGACAATATGCTGCTCAAACTTGAGACTCTCGTGCACTGTACCGGGATTATATTTTTGTCTATTTTCAGTTTTTTAATAAATTAAATTCGACATGGCGTCATCTTTTCCATTAGTCATTGCCTAAGAAGGGTGGTTATGATAAGACACGTCAATCAGGCTCAAAAACATTCAAGCCATCAAAATCAATGTCTCGTCTCCGTCAGGTTGCAAAACAAAGGAAGCAAAAAGAAAAAGATGAAGATTTTTTTCACAAAAGTACAAAAATGCCAACAAACAAGAATCCAGTAATGGACATGTTGCAAACGTAAGAAAGTTCAAAACAGAGGTTAAGGAAAATGATAATAATTGATAAAAGAGAGGAACATAATATTTTTTATGTAATAAAACTTGAAACGTGTGGTCTTCTTTATTAATTTTCTATGCCAACTTCCAAAGGTTGAATTCTGCAATCAAAAATGTATCAAAAAGTCGTATGCAGAGGGATGTAAGGTCTGTTAAGATTGACTTGTATATTTAGACAAGAGGGGTTACTTTTTAACTCATTGGATATGCGAATGTCTTCAAGAAACTCTAGAGGATTGTAGTTTTTTGAACGGAAATCGAAAAGTGTACCATTCAGGTCCTTGTGAATAGTTGAATCAAGAAAATTGATTGATGATATAGGGCTTCAAACGATGTTACAGATATGGCTTCGGAATTGGTGACTACGGAAATACAGACAAATTGTCTGTACATCTTAAGTGGTACAAGTAAATCTTTTTTATACCAAGGGAAACCAAGTATAATTTGTCCCTAGCTTTGCCAAACATCCAATCTATCAGGAATAAGGTGAATGAAGTAGAAATATTTCTGGAATCTGTGGATTTTCCCAATATTTTAATTTCAGTAGAACATTGGCCCTTAAATATTGAAAATTATAGTTTGTTGTCCAAATTTTCTCGTCGACAGTTTTTACATGTTACAACGTTAGTTATGCTCCATGACTGTTTTATGGAAAAATACAAAATTGTTAGTGTAAATAAATTTGATAAGAAGCTGTACTGGGCTGTGTGGATCTTGATGAATGTAAAAGTGGATCTTCTATAAAGAAAGGTAGGCTCTACAGCAAAAAAAAATTTAACAAATTCAAATCGCTTTGTGAACGAGCAGACTGGGATACTTTTTCAAAATCAAGAAACTTCTGGTATTAATATCAATTGAGGTGTAAGTCCCAAAAAATGCAAGGTAATACTACATTATATATGCAAATACTCAATGGATAACGATAAATATCTATTATAATTATCGTAAAATATATAGAAAGCTTGTGGAAATTGCAAAAAGGTCTTTTGATGAGAGGATTGAGAGGGCATCAAACAAATCAAAGGAGGCATGGAAAATCGTAAGCGACTCGCGAGGCAATAAGAACGTTCTTCAGGTCTCGGAAACAGTGAAAGCAGATCAGCTTTACTTCTTTTATTGTTTCTTAGCAGCCAATCTGGCTGATACTATTCCAAAAGCTGGCGATCCATTGAAGTAATTATCTCACATTAATGTATCTAACGCTTTTTTTCTTGCACCTGTATGTGTGCAGGAACTAAAAGATGTTTTTTCTGTAATCAGGAACAAAACCTCTTCTGGATGGGATAAGATCTCCCTGAGGATCCTGTTAGCGCTTCCAATTAAGGTGTTGAACAGTTTGGTGGATGCTATAAACCACTCATTTCTGAAGGGGATTTTTCTAGCATGCTTAAAGGGAGCAATGATCGTTCCTCTGCACAAAGGTGGGAATGCTGATGACCCTTCCAACTATCGTCCTATAGCTCTGCTTCCCACATTGGCCAAGGTAGTCGAAAAACTACACAAGACCCGCGTAATGTCATATTTGGATGAATAAAACATCTTGAGTGGGCATCAGTTTAGATTACAGCGCGGCAGTAGTAATGGGAATGCCATCTTCAACTTTCTCGAATATCTTTACAGGATGATGAATGTTGGCGACATTGCTGCGGCGGTGTTCTGTGATTTATCGAAGGCATTCGACTGCGTGAATCACGGAATACTGTTCAGGAAGCTGGAAAGGTATGGATTTAGGGGCAAGTCCTTGAGATGGTTTGAGTCCTATTTGTGTGATAGAGTTCAAACAGTGTCTTTTAATGGTGAAAATTCTCGGGAAGGGAAGATCAATGCTGGTGTTCCGCAGGGATGTGAACGATCTGCCACATGATCTTATAAAGGGAGCTGATGACACAACTATTTTGTGGCATGGTGTAGATCTGGCAGTGTTAACCAGCAGCATTTCTCACGATCTGTTGGAAAGGAAGAATTTGTGTGATTCTAATTTTCTAAGTTTTAATGCAACAAAAACAAACATCCTATCTTTTAAATGTGTTGTTCAGGGTATTTCTATGTATGCTTTACCACTCCCAGCTCTTGAATTTAACCGATTTCTGGGCCTAACCATTTATAGTTCCTTGAGGTTTGAGGAACACATATTTAAGGTATGTAAAAAAACTTCTTCTGGATGTTATGCCCTTAAGGTAATAAGGCACAATCTAGGTTTCGCTATGGCCAAAAATTATAGCAGGTACGAATTTTTGGCTATAATAGAACCCCATCTTCTACTGCATCGCGTTTTGGGGTGGGTGCTCTCAATATTTATTTACCTCAGTATTTCTACTGCAAAAAAGAGCAATTCGTTATCTCTGTGCTGCAAAAGTCCATGACTCCTGCCGTGGTTTATTTAGCCAGTGTGGAATATTAACCCTTTGCTCATTGTTCATCCTGGAGACGGTAACTTTGATTTTTAAAAAATATAGGAATGAACTTAACCACATTGGACCATATCCGACCCGTCATCCTTTCTCATTGAATCTTCCAATACCTCACTCTCAACTTGTTAAAAGGTCTTTTTCATATGAGGGCAGAAAACTTTTTAACCATCTGCCCACAGAGGTTAGGAGGATTCATTGCTTAAAAAAATTCAGGAGAGCAGTAAAAAGGGTATTAGCACCTGGGGCATATTATACTTTGGCTGAATTTTATGAGACTGTTCTTGACTGTATAGTGTGTCTTCTGTCTGGATATTTTCAGTTTATTGATTTTGTCCATTTATATGCATGTATATTGTAGGTCTTCTTTATGTATTACTATTGAACTTTAGGTTTTATTGATTAAGTTTTATTGACTAGTGTTTTAATTTTAACCTGCATTATTAATTTATTATTATTTGTGTCTTGTATTTAACTACTGTTTTTTTTTTGTTCTCTTTTACCAAGGTTTTGTAACAACTTAAGGTTTATACAATAAAGCTATTTTTGACTTTGACTTTGGATCCTAAAAATTCAGTTAAAACTCAACAAGTATCATACTTACAACACAAGTTATTTCAAATTCACTACTTACAATTATTCTTTATTTTAATAACTCAGTTTATACCTATATAATATTGGGATTTTTTTCGAGAGTAGTTCAGATATTTTGAACAAAAAACCTCAGAAACTATTCCGGCCTAGTTTCATGGCTAGCGAGATCCTCGGATCTTACGACTCTAGATTTTTGTTTACTGAAAACGAAGTGTATGAATTGAAAACCTAAATGTTCTAGAAGAAGGAAGTGTCGGGTATTATCAACTAAATCAGTTACTTGAAATAGGTACCCTAGCAACGGTAGTCGGAAACGTGTTATCGTTAGACAACTGTAGCAAATGTCATTCTGCTTAACAATCGTGCTATTTTCCCAATCTAATTGGCGATGTTTATCCACTAGATATAATAATTAAATTTCCATAGATTGTTTGTACGACCTTGTTAAATGAAATTATTTACATAATTTCCAAACTGATTTTTATTGCCTAATCAAAAATATAAATATGTGCAACGCTTCCGTGATGTATATACAAATGAATAGATGAGCTTATGCCTGATGAAAATATTTTTGTTGAAACACTTATCGCATTTAGGCAAATCGGTTTTGTAAATATTTTTGACAGACAGTTCAAGTGCAAAGAATAAATAGGTAAGTTTGTTATATTTTTGTCTGATGTTTGAATGTTCTTGTGAGTTGAATTCTACTGCCTCTGGTAAAAACTCATAAGCAGTGGTGTCTAAATTCTATATGATTTGCAACAATGACAAAATATCTTTTTAGGATTTCTGATTGCTTTTTGACATTTATATACCATATAAATATAGCTCCCGCGCGTACCGATAACTTTCGCTTGACTTTTTCAGCATTTTTGCTTCAAATTATGGATCCCAATCTATTACCAGCCGTTCTAAGAACCACTCTACCGCCAAAACTAGAAAAAATCAAGAATGGCAGCTATACAGAAAATGACAATGATTACCCTATACATTTGTATTTGAAAGAAAACGATATAAGAGTTCAGGAAGATGGTAGTGATATAATCCAATTTTTAAAGAGGAAAAATTTATTGATTACAGGTGCTACTGGATTTTTAGGTAAGGTTGTCACACTGAAGAATGATTTAAGTATAGAAGTAGATATATACCTACCTATACATTTAAAAAATCCTTATTTGGTAGGCAAGCTTCTTCTCGAAAAACTGCTAAGATGCTGCAAAGACATTGGAACAATCTACGTTGTTATTAGGACAAAAAAAGGGGTAGATCCTCAAAGTAGACTGGAAGATTTCCTCAATAACTGGGTAAAGTTAGTTTTAATTAATTCATAATAATGGAAATAGATCAGTTACCTATGCTTTTTAGGTATTTTGCAAGTTGTCTCAAATCCGTCCCAATTATAAAGACAATGTGGTTGGTATCAGTGGAGACTTCGAGTTTGATGGACTAGGACTTTCTAATGAATCAAGGGGTATTTTAACAGAAAACGTAAGAAAATCTAACCAATCACTTTTGATGTTTAAACTATTTTATTCATCAATAGAGTTGATGTTAATACTAAAACAAAATATTCAATGTAACTATAAGCTGATCAATTATTCACGACACTCACTTGAGAATAGATACGCTTGCCTGAAGTAGGTAGGTACTGTTTGATGTAGTCTTCCTTAAGCAATTCTACAAATATCTAGCAATAAAGGCTTAGGCATCGAAAACTAATCCAACTATCAACAACTCTTCATAGATGAAAACTCTACAGCATCCTGATTATTTTTTTTACGTGATTTTTAAGATACTGTTGTTAGTTAAATACATACTCAGAACTGCTACTAATTCACTTATATCATTTCTTTTGAATCTTTCATTCGGCTGCTCAGAATATGCAAGTTTCGGAGCAATTATGTCATAGTAATAAAAATACATACAAATTGTCATGCAATTTATACGCACATCCACGCACTATTATCAGTTCCAAGAGTGACCAATGTTGTTAAAAACTTGCCTCATCATTATACATAACTTTGAAATTATTGGAATAATGATATTGTCAACTACTTAAGTAAATACCACTCTGTACATTAATTTTACTAAAGTGTGTCGACGAATCAGCATTCATTTGGTATAAATACCGCGTCGAAATCCATTACCGGGAGACTAAGGCTAGTGCGAAGTACCTCAAATGGGAAAAGCCCCTCTAGTTAAGTCTCCTCCCAGTGCAAACAAGCTTTAGTGAGAAACGCCCTTTTGGCAGTATTAAACGCAGCAGACTAGGTCCAGTGCAAACTACCTTTAATGGGAAACGCCCTTCTGGACCTGTCTCAAACCTAGCTTCTTCTGGAAGCATTGAACGCAGCAGACTAGGTCCAATACAATCTCCCTTTATTGGGAAACGCCCAACTGGACTTGTCTCAAACCCAGCTTCAGTCTTCAGTCACGCCAAGTGTACAGCGTGTACATAATACAAAGTGGCCTATAAGAAGTAAGTCCCTCCGTAGAAGAGACGTCATGATCCTATTTCAAGGGTAATATTATTATTATTCAATACATTGTCTTATTATACCTATACCAAGCGAGTTTTTCTCTGCCTGAACCCCACCTACGCCCCCAGGTCACGCTCCTATTGTGACGTCCCAGGACGAAACGTAGGGATTGTGACAATATTGTCAACTACTTAAGTAAATACCCCTCTGTACATCAATTTTACTAAAGTGTGTCGACGAGTCAGCATTAATTTGGTATAAATACCGTGCCGAAATCCATTACTGGCAGACTAAGGCTAGTGCAAAGTACCTCGATTGGGAAAAGCCCCTGTAGCTAAGTGTCCTCCCAATGCAAACTACATTTAATGGGAAACGCCCTTCTGGGAGTATTGAACGCAGCAGACTAGGCCCAGTGCAAACTGCCTTTATTGGGAAACGCCCTTCTGGACCTGTCTCAAACCCAGCTTCAGTATCCAGTCAGGCCATAAGTAATACGTCCCTCCGTAGAAAAGACGTCATGATACTATTTCTAGGGTAATATTATTCTATATAGTCAATACATATCTTATTGTTCCAATACCAGGTGAGTTTCTCTCAACCTGAACCCCAGCTACACCCCCAGGTCACGCTCCTGTTGTGACGTCCCAGGACGAAACGTATAGGGGTCGTGACAATATCTACTTGAAAGTTCATAGCTTTGTTTTTTTAGGTCAACATCATTTATCACGTAGCAGCCACAGTTCGTTTTGATGAACCCCTCAAAAGAGCTGTCAAAATCAACATCGAAGGCTCCCAGCAAATAATCCAATTGGCCAAAGAATGCAAGAAGCTGGACGTTTTTGTTCATATCAGTACAGCGTACTCAAACTGCCAAGAAAAGCTAATCAAAGAAGATTTTTATCCGCCCCATATAGATCCTTACAAGCTAATGCTGATGACTAAAGAGTTACCGGATGACATTCTAGAGAAAATCACACCAGGGTCAGAATTTTTTGCCTATTTTACTAAATCAATTTTTGAATAATTTCACTATAGAATGTTGCAGTCCATTCCTAACACCTACCTCTACACCAAACAGATATCAGAAGATCTAGTAAAAAGAGAAGCCGTGGGATTACCTGCGTGTATTCAAAGACCGGCAATAGTAATAGCTTCAGCCAAAGAACCAATAAGATCATGGGTAGACAATATTTACGGACCTGTAGGCGTGATGCAAGGTGCTGCAATAGGCCTTCTACACATATCGCCTGTTAATGCTAATGGAATAGCCGAATGTGTACCAGCTGATTTTGTTATAAATAATTGTATAGCCGCTTCGTATAAAACTGTCAAAGAACGGTACGGAGTTTTTTTGTAATTTCTATCAATATCTAAAGCTTTTTTTTTCTAGAAAACTTGGTCAAATTCCCATTTATAATTTTACGTCCTCAAACTCAAATCCTCTACATTGGAAGGACTTATTATATATAGTTAAAAAAATAGGCTCAAAAATTCTTGTCAGTAAAGTCTTCTTTAAGTTTACTTCCTGCTGGAGCTGGTACTATATTGTAAGCTTTCTACTTCACACCATACCGGCCGTTATAATCGATTTTGTGCTGGAACGGCTGGGGAAGAAGCCTTTGTATGTATTGTAGCTTCTAGACAGAGCCGGGTAATACTTGAGTGAAGTGTAGTCATCTATCAACTAACTATATAGAGAATCTAGTAATTTCTAATACCTACCTAATTTCAAACTAAACTTAGTTTTAAGCAGTTGACCAACAAGAATTAGTAAGAGAAACTTTCATATGACAGTATGCAGATGAGACTTTGAGTCGATTAAATATCCTTAGCTACGCATTGCGTGTAGTTAATATGGTCCACCAGAAACATCGGAAAAATCTAGATTGTTCATCACCATAATTTCCTATCACATGTGGCTCATTTAAACCCAAATATTTCCTTGAAAAACTAAAATCAATAACTCTTTAAAGTAGACGCTTTGCACAACAGTTTCTTGGAGATTTTAATTGGTATACAGGGTATCCCATGACGTTTTTCCCAGGTGATAACATCGGAACGCGTCATCCAATATAATTGAAATTTTGAGGATCTTGATAACTTTTTGTGCTGCTCTTACCATTGTCATCCGATTTCACCACTTTCACTTCAGTTTCGGTCAAGTGACGTCAACTTTGGAATCTTAAATGTAACTCATGGTATATTGTGGCATTTTTATTAGAAAATTAAATTACAGAATCGGCAATGCCATATTTGTTAGGGCTTTGTTAAAGAAAATGATAAAAAAATTATGCAGTAGAACATACGATGTTGCGTTCCGAAGTTATCATCTGGTAAAAACCTCGTGGGACACGCTGTATATACTCATCGCATTCCTTATCGAGTATTTCCCAACCTCTAATCATCGTCAAATAATTTTCAATTGGTCAGTTCCTCTCCGTCGGACAGTACCTTCAATAGATTTCATTATTGAACGCTAAACACTCAAGATCGATCGCCTCCGAAGTTTTGCAAGCAAATTTTCCCCATGATTTGATAACGTCTTCCGATTTCCTCGATTTATCCAATGTTACCCGGAGCTTTCTCTGACTACCGTTCAGAAATCATAAACAATAAATCAAATTCCTAAATTAGAAAAATCTTCAAGGATTATTGTCGATCATGTTGAAAAAGCAGTTCTTCGAATTTCCTTATTAGATAATAATATACACGATTAAAAATTAGTCCACTATTAGGAATATTCTGATTGACAGGACTTCACTAAAATATTTTGCCCGTTAAACCTCTGATTCTAGCAAAAGTTAACCGCAACAATAACTTGTAAATTTTAGGCTACGGCTAGCTCATAGAAAAATCGAAAAATTCATTATCAGCGTAGTTCATTTCACACTGAACGAATGGAAGTTTATTGATAGAAATACGCAATGCTTATGGGACGAACTTAACGATAGGGATAAAGAGAACTTTCCGTTTGATATAAAGGTCTTGGATTGGCAAGACTATTTTGACACGTCTTTGGTTGCATTGAGAGAGTTTGTAAGCATGGATTTTTTGGATACTTTAGATGAAGGAAGAATGTTAATGTTAAAGTGAGTATAGTATCAAAGTACTTGGAAAGTACCTACTATCGAAATACTTTGAACAGACCTCATCTATCTATGCTTTCATAACTTTCTTTTTCAGGTTGGACATAATCCACTACACGTTTGTGACTCTTTTATTAGGATTTTCAGTGTATTTATTAGCAAACACAATATTCTTTTTCATTCCTTTGTTGTTCGTTGGTGTAACTATATTTTATCTTTTTCCTTGAAGTGTCCTATTTTTATTTATTGTAAGTTGATAAATATAATATGTTTTTATTTATCCAAGGGTCTCATTCAACTCCTTACCAAATTGTGCATAAAAGTACGTTGTTTATCAAGGGCGAAAAAGAGATGATTCCGACGAGTATGAAGTTATCGTTATGCGATATCACACAGGTGGGAATCGTCTTCCGCCCGTACTATCTACACCCAGTACTTTATGCGCAACCCTCTTGGAAATATTTTAAATAAATATTATTTATTTACTGAAGATACTGAGAATGAGTGGAAATCAACCTTCTACCCCTGCCTCCCGCGCACAAAATAGGGTACGATTTCCTGAAGCTCCGTTTCATTATTAACCTATAGTATTTATGACGCTGAGATGCCAGAGGGGCGTCCGCTGGCTAGGTAGCGGTGGAGAGGGTTGCTAGGGGGTTGCAAAGTCGGGAAAAAACCAAAATTTGGAACGATTTTCTAAAGTACGAAACTTTCACGAGAAGAAGGTTATGTTCCATAAAGTACCCTAGATATGGTCCGCTGGGTGGGCGGTGGTGGAATCAGGGTCCGCTGATGGCCCAAAAGGGGCCGAAAACGGTAATTATGAAAACCATTTCCTAAAGCTTGAAATTTTGATGAAGGCTACTGTTTTTATTGAGATTTACGAAAACAATCGTCCGCTGCCTGTATGTCGGTGGAAAAGCCGTCCGCTGGTGGGATCAAGCAAGATAAAGATACCGGGCATAAACGCGTTAGGAGGCACCAGCGGACGATTTTTCCACCGACATAGAGGCAGCGGACGATTGTTTTCATTTATTTCACTATGAATAGGGTCCATCGAGCTTTAAACTGCTAGAGGGATCAACAAGCATATTTGTTTTTTTCCATAATGAGGTAGCGGGGTCAGAGGGGTGATTCATCCGATAAACAAAACGAAAAAAGGCCCTGTTGCCGAATTTTTTCCTGTTCGAATAATAATCTCGATAATAATGAATATCGTCATCTATCGAAAAGTATGTATTTCAAATTTGTCTGCTTATAATAATATTAAAAATATACTTGCGACTTTTTAAGTCTATACTTAAAATAATTCTAAAACAACAATACCTTTTATCACGACTCAATTTGGTTTTAAATGGAACTACGTACCTACTTCTAAAGAAAGATTTTACAGTCTGGCAATAACCTAGTAATTGTTTTGTGTTCTCATGGTGTTCTCAACTTTCTTGTGACAAATCAGCTGACTGCGTTCGAGAACCTGGTGTGTCTTATAAAAATCACACAGCTGCCGTTCGGAAAGGCGAAGTGTGGATTAAAATCATATGGTTTTCGGCGTTCGGAAGGGTGTTTGACACGTATTGATGTGCGCACCGAATACTCTAGAGTGAAATTTAAGCTCACATTTTGAAGATGCACTCCCTGAAATAATTTCCACACCAACAACCAGGTTTTCGAACGCAGCTCTCTGATACCCAAAACATAAACAGACTGGTTTATAAACATTCTATTTTCATAAGTGCGAGAAAGAGGGCCTGGTCTCATTCTGGAACCAAACAAATTCTATAGCACATTATTATCGTTATTAGTCTAGAGAGAGAGAGTGTTCAATGGTCGAAGATAGGGTTAAATTTCATCAAATCTTGATTGGTGCAAACCGCATTTTAATATCTTCAACCGTTTAGCCCCTAGAAGGCGATTCTCGATTTTGAGCAATATTGTGAAACCTCCATAACTTTTTTGTTTATGAAAATAATTGAAATTCGTAAAAACCTTCTGGAGGTACTTTTTTAGGAAGAATTCAGTGACGTTCTCAGATTTTTTCTATTTGGTCCCGATTTTGAGATATTGACCAAAGTCCGATTTTTTCCAATAAGATAGGTACCCTATATATTAATAGCTCATTGAAAACCTATGCTTTTTCTGATTTCAATGATTTGAAGCTCGATAGGTTTATATCTGAAAGTTTTCGAGAAAAAAAAAATATTTCGGTTTTTGTCATAAGGAAGCTTATTGCTTGATAAAAAAGTTGAGACAAAAAAATAAAGGGCACTCCATCATTTAAAAAAAAGCCCTATTTCAGACCAAGACCAAGACTGGTCAGGTTTGGTCTTGGTGTCGAACAATAAATGCTGTCTTGGTCTTGTTGTTTCAAGACCAAGACAAGACTGGCTGAGTCTTAGGATAATGGGTTTAGGGCTTCAGCAATAAAAAGTAAAACTTCCTTTCTGAAATAATTATGCCGACGTTTCGACCATGCATTTGGTCTTCTTCACAGGCTATTTTTACCAGCAAGAGCGTTCCATGTCAAAAAATACCGCATAAAGCATTCCACAACACAGAGGAACAAACAAGCATCAATTCTTGAATTAGACTTTTTATTAACGGAACAGGAAAATTGACAAACACACAGGGCCGGTTCTAGATCTTTGGCCGCCCTCGTGCAAGAGCTTGTTTTGTCCCCCCCCCCCCATAAGAAACTTTTTGCTTCGGGGAAAGTGAATTTTTCAAAATATTCTATCCGTGGGCTCCGTCAAGTTAACCCCCCCCTCACATTCAAAATTTCCAACAAATTTGCAATCACTTACTGTGCTCGAAGTGTCGTTTACTGTGCCGCTGATATTTTGAACTGTGCGGTTCCGATACCAAAGTTATAGGAAAAACAAGATGGGGGCTAACTTGATGTTCAGCTCCCCCAAAATTTTAGAAATCAGATCAAACAAAAATGGATTCCTATGCAATCTGAAGTGTGCTGGACTGTGCTGTATCAGGTTTTTCTCAAAATTTCTATATTAGGTCATTTTCCGACAAAATCCTACTGCGTTGGCTAACTTTGATGCTCAGCTCCCCCAAAATTTTAGAAATCAGATCAAACAAAAATGGGTTCTTATGTAATCTGAAGTGTGCTGAACTGTGCTGCATCAGGTTTTTCTCAAAATTTCCATATTAGGTCATTTTCCGACAAATCCTACTGGGTGGCTAACTTGACGCTCAGCCCCACAAAATTTTGGAAATCAGATGGGACAAAAATTAATTCTTATGCAATCTGAAGTGTGCTGGACCCTGTTTTATCAGGTTTTTCTCAAAATTTCCATATTCGATCATATTCCGACAACATCTACTGGGGGGCTAACTTGACGCTCAGCCCCCCCAAAATTTTGGAAATCAGATCGAACAAAAATGGATTCTCATGCAATCGGAAGTGTGCTGAACTGTGCTGTATCAGATTTCCTCAAAATTTCCATATTTGGTCATTTTCCGACAAAATCCCACTGAGGTGGATAACTTGATGCTCAGCTCCCCCAAAATTTTAGAAATCAGATCAAACAAAAATGGATTCCTATGCATTCCGAAGTGTGCTGAACTATGCTGTATTAGGTTTTTCTCAAAATTTCCATATTAGATCATTTTCCGACAAATCCTACTGGGGGGCTAACTTGATGCTCAGCTCCCTCAAAATTTTGGAAATCAGATCAAACAAAAATGGATTCTTATCTTATGCAATCTGAAGTGTGCTGAACTGTGCTGTATCAGGTTTTTCTCAAAATTTCCATATTAGGTCATTTTCTGACAAAATCCTAATGGGGTGGGGGGAAGGGGGGTAGCTTGGCGCTCAGCCCCTCAAAATTTTTGAAATTAAGTCAAACAAAAATGGATTCCTATCCATTGTGTACCAGTGCAAATATTCAATCGCTTGGATTGTGCCGCACTATTTTTGCAAACGGATTTCGCTATTAAAGTGTAACCTGCAAAAAAAATAAGTTCAATCTGGTCTACACTTTAGATTCAATACGAATCCATTTTTGTGACTTTAGGTAATTCCTAAAAAAATATGTAGGATTGTAGGATTTTTAGAACTAACCATTAATGTAATAAAATACATATAGAATGTTTCATTTAAAATACCAAATTCTGTCACATACCCTATTCACGCAGCACCCCGTATATTCAAAATTAGTTTTTAACTTATGTACCTTACTAAATATACTTTTAGGATGGGATTTTTCAACTTCAAATGGAGCTTTAAATTTAAAGTTTACTTTAAGTTGAACATGAAATTGGCCGTTAGAGTATTAAACAAGTTTGTAATTTAATTTTTTTTTCTTGCATACATCACCCTGTAAGGGGATATCGTCCGGGAGGTGCGACACCCGTAATATTTGAATTTCGAATTAAATAAATTTATAGAAGACTTAATATAATATTTACATGGTAGAAAGAAACAATAAATTATTGGAATTTCAATAGAATTATAAATTATGATTCAAACCTCGCTAGTTTTACACGCATGTTTTTTTGTGAATAGATTGTCGGAAACGAATTCCTAAAGATTGAAATTTTGATAGGTGCTTATATTCATAGTGAAACTTACGAAAACAACCGTCCGCTACCTCTATGTCGGTGGAAAAATCGTCCGCTGGTGCCTCCTAACGCGTTTATGCTCGGTATCTTTATCTTGCTCGATCCCACCAGCGGACGGCTTTTCCACCGACATACAGGCAGCGGACGATTATTCTCGTAAATCTCAATAAAAACAGTAGCTTTCATCAAAATTTCAAGCTTTAGGAAATGGTTTTCATAATTACGGTTTTCGGCCACTTTTGGGCCATCAGCGGACCCTGATTCCACCACCGCCCACCCAGCGGACCATGTCTAGGGTACTTTATGAAACATAATCTTCTTCTCGTGAAAGTTTCGTGCTTTAGGAAATCGTTCCAAATTTTGATTTTCTTCCCGACTTTGCAACCCCCTAGCAACCCTCTCCACCGCTACCTAGCCAGCGGACGCCCCTCTGGCATCTCAGCGTCATAAATACTATTATGTCATACCAATACATTATTGTGTTTTTATACCTTAGATACCATCTACATAATTCATTACTTTATGCCCGTGCGGGCATAAAGTACACATTATGGCCCGCGCGGGCATAAAGACGCAAAAAACAGTTTTCAAATAACTTATTTTTTATTAACAAAATATAAATTTACGCTTATAAAGATATTATTTTTGTCAAAAAAT